TCAAATTTCGTTTGTTTGGTGTCATTACAATCAGGAAAAGATTCTCTATCATTTTATAAGAAAAAATAATTTTTTTTTTTTAAATTTTGCAACAACAGGAGACACCTCAGGATTGGGGGTTGCGACAGTCAAGGGGTTAACATTATGCAATGCACTCGTTAGCCGAGGGTCCACTGTACATCGCTAAGTGAGGAGAGGCTGTAATTTAACTCTTGGTATTTTCTGGGACAATTACAATACAAATCTACCATTTATCAAATATACTCTACAGCACAAAAACTTTTTAATTCTTTGAGGGTCCAGACCCCCAATCTGAAAATTCCCCACAGGGTCTAAGAATTTAAAAAAAAAAAAAATATTCTTAATTTTCCTACAAAATGGTAGAGAAACTTTTTCTGAAGGTAATAAAACAAAAAGTACAAAAATGTGATAAAAAAATTGACGAAATTATGCTCTTGCCAATTTTGCTGTGTCAGCGATATTGATGCAACAGCGATTTTGCCCACTTTGAGCCCTATTTTCAGCCAATTACATTATTCCATTAGACCAAATTCTTAACTATTCACTAATATGTGTTCCATTTTATCTACTGAGCACAAGAAATTGCCCAATCAACTATTTCAACTACCTAATAAAGTGTTCAGAAATTGTTAATGTGGCCAATTTCACACAAAGTTCACAATATTCCAATTTCAAAATAGGGTCCAAAATAAACAATGCAGGCATTCCTGGCACTGAAATAATGTTTCCTCTGTTTATTAATTATGTTTCCAGGCTTTACAAATGAATTCCATTTTGATTTTTTATTCACATGAAGAATTTTTAGTCACATCAAAAAAACAGAAGATTTACTGTCATGCAATAATGTATAGTGAATGCATGTGTATTGACCACGTGATGTGATTTATTTACTCTTGAACATCGGCAAAAATTGAACAATTCCGCTACTCTGAGCTCTATTTCAAGCTATTTTCAGTACTAAAACCAATCAAAATCATCTCTATTTCTATAACATTCTCCATGCTATCAAATGAGGCTAAGAAACTGCAAATACAGCAGTAAAAAACACAATGAAAATACACCACAAAGTCACTGTTTTAATCCAAAAAACAGAGTTGCACTTTTTTCTCATTATGCACTGCGTGGAGCAGGATTTGTTTTATATGGTGCACACTTACCATATAGATGCATTTTCTCATATCTAGACCCAAATTTACTGCTCACAGCTTTTCTGAGTGAGCTGAGCTCATGATGTAGTACTTTGGCTTGGACCCCAGCTTCAAAGCAGTAGAACTACGGAATGGACTCTTAAACATATCATATATTTACAGTACAATGGAACTTCAGTTTTCGCATGCCCTGGTTTTCGTAGGATTCGGTTTTCAACGACTTTTCTTGTCAAAATTTTGTCCCAGATTTTGTACATCTGCTCAGTTTTCATAGAGTTGACAATGCTCTGCCGTACCAAATGCATCTGCCTGCCCGTGCCCACACAAAGCATCCCACGTGTTCTGACTCAGTCTGGCTTTGTTTCTCATTGAGTGAGCATTGTAAGAATGTGTCTTCTTCAGTGATAAAGGACATGTGTGCAAAGTGGAATGAGTTGCAAAGTTTTGTAGACAAATATCACCCTAACAAAGCTATTGCAAGCCATGTCTGCAACATGTTCAATGACAATGCCTAGTCCCATTTTAGGCAAATTTTAAAGATGCCAGAAACAGACCTCTCTGGACAGATTTTTTTGTGCAACAGGGGTCCAGTGACTCTCAAGCTGGTCCTAGTGCCAGTAAAAGACAAAGAAGGGAAGTAACCCCAGATAGGGTCTTAATACCTGTAGTCCTTATGGAGGGAGATTCCCCTTCCAAACAATAACCTTTCCTCCTCCCTATACCCTCCTCGTTGTCTTCCATTCACCAATAAAGGTAAAAGTGATGTTAAATGTTCCTTTTTCCATTTCATTAGTCATTTACATATATTTCTCGCTGTTTTCTGTATGTAAAACTGTAGTTATTCTCTATAAAATGTATTTTCTGTTAATCATGAAAACCGAGGTTCCACTGTATACGTAGTACATGTATTGTATATAATTGAATCAAGTAAAATATTAAATAAAAATCTGGAAAATAAAATGACAGCAGTATGTTACAAATAGCCTTCACATCGGAGTCAGATATTACATGAAAGTTAGCAGTGCCAGAAGCTCAGCTATTGTACTACAAAGCTAGCTGGGGTTCTTATATGTATAGTACAGTGGTACTTCGAGTTACGAACTTAATTCATTCCAGAAGGCTGTTAGAGTGCCAATACCAAACGAATAATGTAAATTAGATTAGTCCATTTCAGACCCCCAAAAATACACTTACATAATTGCTCGAGTTAGGAGCACTTTGAAACTCGAGGTACCACTGTATAAGTTCATGAAATGACATACAAGCCATGGTATCTTGAACCGGACTCACTGATAACAAGCAATGTTATATAAAAACAAAACCTGTGGATAGGCAATATTATGAATGCAAAACTTGCAGACTACATTCCAGTCTGCCTGAAAAGTACCTGAACTGAGCAAAATTCGTAAAGTAAAAGGACACAAGTGCAACTAATGTGACATTTTTAATGTGGCAACGTTTCGCTCTCCAGGAGCTTTGTCACGCCGTTACAAACAATATATGGACACAGAGGGTATATATAGGCTTAGAGTGAGGTGTAATACTAGTGGTAGTAGTAGTAGTAGAAGTAGTAATATAAGTTGTAGTAGCAGTAGTAATACAATTAATTTGCACATGAATAAAAGGATATAAAAGCTATTACTTGGGTAGCATAAAAATATGTTAGATAAATATTTCTATTGGAGGTTGAATTAGAGAAGGCCTCTTTCAGTGTTCATCCTCTGTAATGTGCTAGTGTAGTATTAGCAGGAGACTATGTGATGGCAGGGTTTAGTTTTCAGGAGGATTCTTGCTAAGACTTCAGAGATAGTGAAGCTGCCTTTGTTTTCCTTAATTATATTAGAAACAGCGATTAGCGATGATTCAAGGCACTTGCGTCTGCAGAAATTAGTTTCTTTGATAACTAATTGGGCGTCCCTGAATTTTATGAGATGGTTGGTGGAATTCTGGTGTTGTACACAGGCGTTGTTCAAGTTATCATTCCTACAGGCATAAATGTGTTCATTGAGGCGGGTGTCGAGGTTTCTTGCTGTTTCACCTACATATATCTTGTCGCATCCTCCACAGGGTATAGTGTAAACCCCTGCATTGACTGGTTCATGGTGCTTGGATTTTGTCCTGGTTAGAACATTTATTGAAGTGCTGGAAGCGATGGCGACTCTGGTGTTAGCTTGTGAAAGTACTTTAGAAACGTTCAGTGCAACCTGGCTGTTGGGAAGAATTATAACTTTGTTAGGAGTGGTGTTGGTGCATGGCGAATTAATGATCTGAAGAGCTCTTTTCTTGCAATCTTTGATGGAAAAGGAAGGAAAATGTAAATCAGTGAAGGTTTGGTGAATGTACGTATGTACATTTCTTGTCAAGAAACTCAAAACTACAAATTCTTAGCTAACTTGTATATAGAACACCTAGAGTCTGAACACATTGCCAACATCATCCCTTCAAGCATCACTTGGTTACATTACATGGACGACGTCTTCGTAATAACTCCCAAATGTTTTGATGTACGGAATCTTCAGGTAAGGCTCAACGCAGTTGAACCGACAATCCAGTTTACCCTAGAAGAAGAGTCCAATGATAAGCTACCTTTTCTAGACATCCTCATTCACAAAGTAGATAACAATCTAAGATTTCAAGTTTACCGGAAACCTACAAATAAATATGATCTCGCACACTTCTATTCTAGTTAAGATACTAAGACCAAAAGAGGCATCATCATCAGATTTTTCTGAAGAGCATACCGAATTTGTAGTCCTGAGTTTCTTGACGAGTAATGTACATATATTCACCAAACCTTCGATTCACATTTTCCTTCCTTTTTCATCAAAGATTGCAAGAAAAGAGCTCTTCAGATCATTAATTCTCCACGCACCAACACCACTCCTAATGAAGTTATAATTCTTCCCAACAGCCAGGCTGCACTGAACGTTTCTAAAGTACGTACTTTCACAAGCTAAGACCAGAGTCGCCATCGCTTCCAGCACTTCAATAAACATTCTAACCAGGACAAAATCCAAGCACCACAAACCAGTCAATGCAGGGGTTTACACTATACAGTGGACCCTCGACCAATGATGGCATCGTCTAACGTTAAATCCGACTAGCGATACATTTTAACGCAAAAATTTTGCCTCGACTAGCGCTAAAAAACTCGACCAACACGATTCATTCCGTTCGAGACGCCTCCACTTGTGGCCAGTGTTTACAAGCCAGCCAGCCACCGCGGTCCCAGCCAAACATACAATTGGAACATATTATCACAGCGTTTTTAGTGATTGCACCTGCAAAACAAGTCACCGTGGGCCCCAAGAAAGCTTCTAGTGCCAACCCTACAGCAAAAAGGGTGAGAATTACTATGGATATGAAGAAAGAGATCATTGCTAAGTATGAAAGTGGAGCACGTGTCTCCGAGATGGCCAGGTTGTACACAAAACCCCAATCAACCATCGCTACTATTGTGGCCAAGAAAAAGGCAATCAAGGAAGCTGTTCTTGCCAAAGGTGCAACTATGTTTTCGAAACTGAGATCGCAAGTGATAGAAGATGTTGAGAGACTGTTATTGGTGTGGATAGACGAAAAACAGATAGCAGGAGACAGCATCTCTCAAGCGATCATATGTGAAAAGGCTAGGAAGTTGCATGACGATTTAATTAGAAAAATGCCTGCAACTAGTGGTGATGTGAGTGAATTTAAGGCCAGCAAAGGTTGGTTTGAGAGATTTAAGAATCGTAGTGGCATACATAGTGTGATAAGGCATGGTGAGGCTGCCAGTTCGGACCAAAAAGCAGCTGAAAAATATGTGCAGGAATTCAAGGAGTACATAGACAGTGAAGAATTGAAACCTGAACAAGTGTTAAATTGTGACACTGACAATGTTGTGAAACACTTTAGTAATGTCATAAAGGAACAGGAGGTACAGGCCTCTATGGACAGATATGTTGTGCGACAGAGGTCCAGTGATTCTCAAGCTGGTCCTAGTGGCATTAAAAGAAGAAGGGAAGTAACCCCAGAAAAGGACTTGACACCTCAAGTCCTAATGGAAGGGGATTCCCCTTCTAAACACTATGTATAATGTACATGTACTATGTACATGTACAATTACATGACACTATGTGTCATGTAATTGTACATGTCTTCTTCAGTTTTTTTTTTTTTTAACAAGTCAGCCGTCTCCCACCAAGGCAGGGTGACCTAAAAAAGAAAGAAAATCCTCAAAAAGAAAACACCTTCATCATCACTCAACACTTTCACCACACTCACACATTATCACTGTTTTTGCAGAGGTGCTCAGAATACAACAGTTTAGAAGCATATACGTATAAAGATACACAACATATCCCTCCAAACTGCTAATATCCCAAACCCCTCCTTTAAAGTGCAGGCATTGTACTTCCCATTTCCAGGACTCAAGTCCGACTATATGAAAATAACCGGTTTCCCTGAATCCCTTCACTAAATATTACCCTGCTCACACTCCAACAGATCGTCAGGTCCCAAGTACCATTCGTCTCCATTCACTCCTATCTAACACGCTCACACACGCTTGCTGGAAGTCCAAGTCCCTCGCCCACAAAACCTCCTTTACCCCCTCGCTCCAACCCTTTCGAGGACGACCCCTACCCCACCTTCCTTTCCCTATAGATTTATATGCTTTCCATGTCATTCTACTTTGATCCATTCTCTCTAAATGACCAAACCACCTCAACAACCCCTCTTCTGCCCTCTGACTAAATACTTTTATTAACTCCACACCTTTTCCTAATTTCCACACTCCGAATTTTCTGCATAATATATACACCACACATTGCCCTTAGACAGGACATCTCCACTGCCTCCAACCATCTCCTCGCTGCTGCATTTACCAACCAAGCTTCACATCCATATAAGAGTGTTGGTACTACTATACTTTCATACATTCCCTTCTTTGCCTCCATAGATAACATTTTTTGACTCCACATATACCTCAATGCACCACTCACCTTTTTTCCTTCATCAATTCTATGATTAACCTCATCCTTCATAAATCCATCCGCCAACACGTCAACTCCCAAGTATCTGAAAACATTCACTTCTTCCATACTCCTCCTCCCCAATTTGATATCCAATTTTTCTTTATCTAAATCATTTGATACCCTCATCACCTTACTCTTTTCTATGTTCACTTTCAACTTTCTACCTTTACACACATTCCCAAACTCATCCACTAACCTTTGCAATTTTTCTTTAGAATCTCCCATAAGCACAGTATCATCAGCAAAAAGTAACTGTGTCAATTCCCATTTTGAATTTGATTCCCCATAATTTAATCCCACCCCTCTCCCGAACACCCTAGCATTTACTTCTTTTACAACCCCATCTATGAATATATTAAACAACCATGGTGACATTACACATCCCTGCCTAAGACCTACTTTTACCAGGAAGTAGTCTCCCTCTCTTCTACACACCCTAACCTGAGCCTCACTATCCTCATAAAAACTCTTTACAGCATTTAGTAACTTACCACCTATTCCATATACTTGCAACATCTGCCACAATGCTCCTCTATCCACTCTACCATATGCCTTTTCTAAATCCATAAATGCAATAAAAACTTCCCTACCTTTATCTAAATACTGTTCACATATATGCTTCAATGTGAACACTTGATCTACACATCCCCTACCCACTCTGAAACCTCCTTGCTCATCCGCCATCCTACATTCTGTCTTACCTCTAATTCTTTCAATTATAACCCTACCGTACACTTTTCCTGGTATACTCAGTAAACTTATTCCTCTATAATTTTTACAACCTCTTTTGTCCCTTTTCCCTTTATATAAAGGGACTATACATGCTCTCTGCCAATCCCTAGGTACCTTCCCCTCTTTCATACATTTATTAAACAAAAGTACCAACCACTCCAACACTATATCCCTCTGCTTTTAACATTTCTGTCATGATCCCATCAGTTCCAGCTGCTTTACCCCCTTTCATTCTATGTAATGCCTCACGTACCTCCCCCACACTTACATTCTGCTCTTCTTCACTCCTAAAAGATGGTATACCTCCCTGGCCAGTGCATGAAATTACCGCCTCCCTTTCTTCCTCAACATTTAAAAGTTCCTCAAAATATTCTTGCAATCTACCTAATACCTCCCTCTCCCCATCTACTAACTCCCCTACTCTGATTTTAACTGACAAATCCATTCTTTCCCTAGGCTTTCTTAATCTGTTTAACTCACTCCAAAATTTTTTCTTATTTTCATTAAAATTTCTTGACAGTGCCTCTCCCACTCTATCATCTGCTCTCCTTTTGTACTCTCTCACCACTCTGTTTACCTTTTTTTACTCTCCATATACTCTGCTCTTCATATAACACTTCTGCTTTGTAAAAACCTCTCATAAGCTACCTTTTTCTCTTTTATCACAACCTTTACTTCATCATTCCACCAATCACTCCTCTTTCCTCCTGCCCCCACCCTCCTATAACCACAAACTTCTGCCCCACATTCTAATACTTCAGTTTGTGTGTATTAAAATTAATATTTCATGTGGTAATTTTTTTTTTTCAATACTTTTGGGTGTCTTGCACGGATTAATTTGATTTCCATTATTTCTTATGGGGAAAATTAACTCGACTAACGATAATTTCGATTAACGATGAGCTCTCAGGAACGGATTAATATCGTTGGTCGAGGGTCCACTGTACCCTGTGGAGGCTGCGACAAGATTTATGTAGGTGAAACAGCAAGAAACCTCGACACCCCCCTCAATGAACACATTTATGCCTGTAGGAATGATAACTTGAACAACGCCTGCGTACAACACCAGAATTCCACCAACCATCTCATGAAATTCAGGGACGCCCAATTAGTGATCAAAGAAACTAATTTCCGCAGACGCATGTGTCTTGAATCGTCATTAAACCCAGTTTCTAATACAATTAAACAAAACAAAGGCAGCTTCACTATCTCTGAAGTCATAGCAAGAATCCTCCTGAAAACTGTAAACCCTGCCATCACATAGTCTCTCCTGTTAATACTACACTAGCACATTACAGAGGATGAACACTGAAAGAGGCCTTCTCTAATTCAATCTCCAATAGAAATATTTACCTAACTTATTTTTATGCTACTCAAGTAATAGCTTTTATAATGATGTATAAAGCTGCAGTATAACCTCTGGACTTTTGTTGCTTACACTTCTTGATATAAATCCCAGTAATCTATTTGCCTTATTACGTACGCTTAGGCATTGCTGTCTTGGTTTAAGGTTGCTGCTCACCATAACCCCCAAGTCCTTTTCGCAATCTGTATGGCTAAGTTCTACATTATTTAACTTATAAGGTAGAACTTACCAATCTGTATGGCTAAGTTCTACCTTATAAGTTAAATAATGTAGAACTTAGCCATACAGATTGCGAAAAGGACTTGGGGGTTATGGTGAGCAGCAACCTTAAACCAAGACAGCAATGCCTAAGCGTACGTAATAAGGCAAATAGATTACTGGGATTTATATCAAGAAGTGTAAGCAACAGAAGTCCAGAGGTTATACTGCAGCTTTATACATCATTAGTAAGGCCTCACCTAGATTATGCACCTCAATTCTGGTCTCCATATTACAGAATGGACATAAATTCGTTAGAAAACATTCAGCGTACGATGACTAAATTAATACATAGCATTAGAAATCTTCCTTATGAAGAAAGATTGAAGACTCTTAAGTTACATTCACTTGTTAGACGAAGAATGAGGGGAGACCTGATTGAAGTGTATAAGTGGAAGATAGGTATAAATAAAGGGGATATTAACAAGGTCTTGAGGATATCTCTCCAAGAGAGAACCCGCAGTAATGGATTTAAATTAGATAAGTTTAGATTTAGAAAGGACATAGGAAAGTATTGGTTTGGAAATAGGGTAGTTGATGAGTGGAACAGTCTACCTAGTTGGGTTATTGAGGCTAGGACTTTGGGTAGTTTCAAATTTAGGTTGGATAAGTACATGAGTGGGAGGGGTTGGATTTGAGTGGGACTTGCACATCAGAGCTTATTTCTTGGGTGGCATTGAAAATTGGGTTGGTCAAATGTTTGTTAGTGGGATGAATTGTAAAGGACCTGCCTAGTATGGGCCAACAGGCCTGTTGCAGTGTTCCTCCTTTCTTATGTTCTTATGTTCTTATATCCTTTTATTCACGTGCAAATTAATTGTGTTACTATTACTACAACTTATATTACTACTACTACTACTACTACTAATACTACAACTTATATTACTACTACTACTACTACTACTAATACTACAACTTATATTACTACTACTACTACTACTACTATTACTACCACTAGTATTACACCTCACTCTAAGCCTATATATACCCTCTGTGTCCATATATTGTTTGTAACGGCCTGACAAAGCTCCTGGAGAGCAAAACGTTGCCACAATAAAAATGTCGCATTAGTTGCACTCGTGTCCTTTTACTTTACATACTGTTGGTAATTCTACCAACATTATTACACATGAACAAAACTCACCAAACTGGAGTTTTCTTGATAGTAATAAATCTAATCAATTTTCTTTAAATAAAATAATATAATCATTGTTACCTACATATTGCACATATTTTTTAATGCATACTCAATAAGAAACAAAAAGAGAACTTACTCTTGCTCTGTACATGATGGTGTCAAAGGTAATGACACCATTTCGCATGTCATCTTTATCATTGGTGAAGTCCAGCTGAATTGCCAAACGATCTTTGATGTTTGTTTGGCCTTGTCTTATAGCCTCTCTTAGTACACTTGCTTGAGGCTGTAAGATATAAAACACTTTAAACAATTCAGTTCTGTATATGTATATCTTATTACTAAATTACATAAAATATACACACCAGTAGTAAACTTTAGCAATATAGTACAGTATAATAATTTTCAAATTTATATCACACCATAATTAAGAATAAAATTTATAATAAATTAATGAAATTAATAAATAATAATAAATTTAATAAAAGTCTTGTTGGTATTACTGAAATTGGTACAAGTAAAAGTAAAGCTGAAAGCATGAAACAAGAAAAAATAAAATCATGACTTTATGGAAATTAAAGCACCTCATAATAGAAGCATTTATTGTAGATAACAATCTGCTTAAGACAAGCTAGAACAGTTATAAAATATTTAGCCACAGTAATGTTATAGTCCTAACTTGTATTGATCCTAGGGTGGGCAGAGATGTTGGGCATGTTTTTGTATATCTACTCACCTAGAAGTGAGTATTGTATCTGGATGATACCCATGATATACAACTGTAGGTCTTTAAACTACTCTTTAGATTGGGTGTAACTTAATCTCTCCTGGAAAATATTCTTAACTCAAACTGTACATAACTGTGAAGACAAGACAAGCTTTTATTGAGACAATGTTCTGATCTGTTATGATCTTTATCAAAGCATGAGTTAGTGAAAATTTTAACAAATCAAAATATTGTTGACAGCACACCATATAGTTTCATGCCCTTCATGTGAAAACTCTGGACTATAATCGTCTCTAAGCACTTAATTGTGCATCTGCCATGTTCTTCCAACTACAGTAGCTTACTAATACTTTTGCTATAGTACTTTCCTACAAAATGATTCACAATGCTTTTGGTTCTTTTCTAAATACTTTTTCATCTATTTTCCATACATATAGTAATTTAATTTGTACAGTATATTTACTTTTCTTAAGAACAGGTTACTTACAGACAATAATCTGAGAATAAACTGGTTTTCAAGTTCGGCTCCAAGAGACCCAGGTGGTCGAGATGATCTTCCTTTGATACTACGATTCATGTTGAAGGAATTGAAGCGAAAAGTTTAGGTGACAGCTTTCAGGAACTTTACTGAAGGCTTTTAGTTACAGTTTTTCACAACAAAACTGTCTTCAATCTGAAAAAGGGGCAATAACAAATACATATATTAAATCATGGTATGGGTGGAGATTGAACTTGTAGAAAGTGAGTCATAAAACATGTATCAATATGTATATACATACAGTGACAATTAAAGTATTTTAATACAATGGTACAGTAGAGCTGACTAGCTTGTAGTTTATTGGAAATTCTGCTTTGTACTGTTAACTCTAGTCTGTTTTACAGGGTTGCAGGTTGAACAAAATTAAGATGTATCATGTATACACAGAATAACCAAATATTCTAGATTCAAGAAATTACTCTCTACGTCGGTGATTTCCTTCTCGGTGACATGGAAGATTTCTTCACTCTGCCAACAAATATTATCCAATATTGCTTATAACTGAGAGTACATACTCTACTACTGCACTATATTGTTGACTCTGGGCTCACCATCTCATTTGCAGGGCTTATATTATTGCAGTGATTTAAGATAAGATAAGATAAGATTTCATTCGGATTTTTAACCCCGGAGGGTTAGCCACCCAGGATAACCCAAGAAAGTCAGTGCGTCATCGAGGACTGTCTAACTTATTTCCATTGGGGTCCTTAATCTTGTCCCCCAGGATGCGACCCACACCAGTCGACTAACACCCAGGTACCTATTTGCTGCTAGGTGAACAGGACAACAGGTGTAAGGAAACGTGTCGAAATGTTTCCACTCGCCGGAAATCGAACCCGGGTCTTCCATGTGTGAAGCGGGAGCTTTAGCCACTAGGTCACCGGGCCCTTGTAATTTGTAAATTACACTTTGCATCAGTCATTTGCATTCTAATATATTGTAAGCAACTCTTAAGATATTATTATATTCATGGGTACCTACATAAATACCTCACAGTTTTGTGATCACACACTAGGCTTAGAAGCGAAGGTTATGAGCCTAATGTTGTGGGTTGCATCCCTGGGAAGAGGGCTAAACAATGGAAATAATCCACACTGATTAGCTCTCCTGGTTTATCAACTCACTGGATTATTGAAAGAAAAAAATATAAGGTCGATTTGTAAAGGCTTTACATAAGTTTTAATTCAGGCCTCAAACATAATTTGAAACTTTCACTACGGCGTTACGTAGTAAATTATATGGAATTCAACCAAGGATAATCCGGTAAAGTAAAAAAAAAAAAAGTGTATACTTATTTCCACTGGGGTCCTGAAATTATCGTCCGAAAAAATAGTACTGGCAAAATTATTACGAAAATATGTCTTCCTACCTACGGGTAAACTGGAACGATCTTGTTGTTGGGGATTTTGAGGGCTACCAAACTTTGGTATGTATGTCTAGCATTAGGAATGTTAGGAGAGAAGTAAATAATGAAAATGATTGTTATAGGAACGCAGTTAGAAGCCTGAGTAGATCTATAACCCACTATGATAACATGAACATAGATAAGTATGGAGCAACTTGCAATGTGAACAGACTGACTGATGTTGTAGTGGCCAGGCTTAGGCTTGGTTACAAGTACTTCTGGCAGTTTGGGAGACACACAGATGATGGTCAAACTAAATGTAAATTATGTGATCAGGCATATGGTCACTCTCTTGAACACTATGTGCTTAATTGTCCACTTATTGAGGAATACAAAGATAGACAGTATAATAATCTATGTGAGATAAGATTTCATTCGGATTTTTAACCCCGGAGGGTTAGCCACCCAGGATAACCCAAGAAAGTCAGTGCATCATCGAGGACTGTCTAACCTATTTCCATTGGGGTCCTTAGTCTTGTCCCCCAGGATGCGACCCACACCAGTCGACTAACACCCAGGTACCTATTTGCTGCTAGGTGAACAGGACAACAAGTGTAAGGAAACGTGTCGAAATGCTTCCACTCGCCGGGAATAGAACCCAGGACCTCTGTGTGTGAAGCGGGAGCTTTAGCCACCAGGTCACCGGGCCATTTCTTATTTGAAATACTCATTTGTACTTCATGTTGTAATTTCTTTACTGTAATTTTTACCACTGAATATATCATTGCTTAGTTAATCTTAAGTTAATTTTAAGCCTGCCCATAATGCTCTGCATACAAGGGGCATGTGGTTCAGTCCTAGGCGCGGGTGGAAAGATGGGCATATTTCCTTACATCGCTGTCCCTGTTCACCTAGCAGGAAGTAGGTACCTGGGTGTTAGTCGACAGGTGTGGGTCGCATCCTGGGGGAGAAGATTGAAGGATCCCAATGGTAATAAAACAGACATTCTCTATGACGCACTGACTTTCTTGGGTTATCCTGGGTTATTAACCTCCCTCTGGGTTAAAAATCCGAACAAGTCTTATAATAATAATATATTTATTTCTACAAGTACATGTACAAGGTATACAGGCCTAGCTGACACCAATGACATACTACTATATAGAAAGCCCATTGTTATGGAGAGCATTTCGAGCAAATAAGGTCATATTAGGATGCGACCTGCACCAGACGTCTAACACCTAGGTACCCACTTTCTTTACTGATGGGTGATCAGGGACAACAGGTGTAAGGAATCGAAACACGGACCCTGTGTGTAAAGCCAGAGAGCTTTGCCTACCAGACCACATGCCACCCTTACCTTAAAACAATACTGCCGCTCCAAAACAAGATTCCTAGCCTTTCCTAACAGACAGCCACCCAAAGTCTCCCCCAGTGTAGAAATTCTGGCGCCGCCTTTGGAGAAACGCTAAACCCGAAGGAGTCATACAACACTTGAGGAGCATGAGAAACATTAAGGCTCGATTCAAGGAATTGGAACCTAGATCCAGCTCCTTAGATCAAGAGCCCTTGACCAGTATCAAGGAACCTCCTTTGAGGATACGCTTAAGTTTAACTAGCTTTGCGCCACCCCTCGCAGATTAGATTAGATTGTAAATAAGTGGCTAGTTTTTTATGCACCTCATATCCATCCTGTGAAAGTGATTGTTATAGGAATGCAGTTAGAAGCCTGAGTAGATCTATAACCCACTATGATAACATGAACGTAGATAAGTATGTTTATGGAGCAACTTGCAATGTGAACAGACTGACTGATGTTGTAGTGGTCAGGCTTAGGCTTGGTTACAAGTACTTCTGGCAGTTTGGGAGACACACAGATGATGATCAAACTAAATGTAAATTATGTGATCAGGCATATGGTCACTCTCTTGAACACTATGTGCTTAATTGTCCACTTATTGAGGAATACAGAGACAGACAGTATAATAACCTATGTGACATGTCAAGATATCTTATTAATGAAAATAAGATACCAATATACAAGCAAATTCCTAAATTTGCTTTGTAACAGATAAGAGAACTATAGATATGTAAGATATATAATCCAATAATGTATTCATGATTTAAACCCCTTGGGGCCTAGTTCTAGGCCTTTTGTGTATCCAAATGCTCTCGCGCTCCGTCACAGGATGGATATGGGTAGCACAATAAACTAGTAGCCCCTTCGGTGGCAAAATCTAAAAAAAAAAAAATCTGTGGACCGGTAGCGAAGAGCATTATGATACACAAAAGGCTTAGGAACTAGGCCCCAAAGGGTTTAACAGGAATACATATGGCTTTAATATCTACATATCTATATTCACTTATCTGTTACAAGCAAATTTAGGAAATTTGCTTAGTTATATCTGGATATCTTCTATTTTCAATAATAAATATCTTTGACATGACACATAGTTTATTATCTGTCCTGTCTCAGTATCCTTCAATAATGGACAATTAAGGCACATAGTGTTCAAGAGAGGAACCATATGCCTGATCACATAATTTACATTTAGTTTGATCATCATCTGTGTGTCTCCCAAACTGCCAGAAGTACTTGTAACCAAGCCTAAGCCTGGCCACTACAACATCAGTCAGTCTGTTCACATTGCAAGTTGCTCCATAAACATACTTATCTATGTTCATGCATTCCTATAACAATCATTTTCGTTATTTGCTTCTCTACAAATAATATTCCTAATGCTAGACACAGATATATCAAAGTTATATTCTACATTCTCCTTCTGGGTACTCTTCTTGGCTAACATATCAACTTTATCATGGAGTAATCCAATGTGTGATGGGATCCATAGCAATTGTACATTAATCCCTTTGTCCCTGATTTTTAAGTATCTATAACTGACTTCTCCAATGAGCATGTTATTGGAGTCATTATATAAGTTAAGAGCCTTCAATGATGTCACAGAATCAGTAATGATAGAATCAAGCTCAGTGTCATAGTTAGCTTTAGCGCCATTAGGATTGCAAACAATTCAGTTTGCAGTGTAGACGCCCAGTTGTTAATTCTTATGCCTAACTCAATTTTTTTATTATCGTTCTTAACTAGAGAGGTGGCAACAAGAGTAGTTTAGATCCATCAGTGTATATAACTTGTGATAACTTATTACTACCAGCTAGGCGAGAAATTTCTTCTTGAGCAGTTGCTTTAGCAAGTGATTTAAGGAAGGGATTACTAGCAATGAGCTTCTTGGGAGGGACTTGCAGGTATGTGATATTAAATGAACACATCTTCCATGGAGGGGTAAAATGCTCTTGTTGTCTACAGTGATACAGTTCATGCAGGTTATAAAACTTAATGCAACTGCACATTTTCACAATCCATTTAGATCTGTGTGTATTTACTTCAAGACTCTTAGTAAGGTTCATTGTGACAGTGTCTGGCTCATTTCTTAACATTCTAATACCGAGTACAGTGTTAATCTCAACAATCCTATCACTAATACTAGAAATACCTAGCTCCTTCCTCATATTAAGAACCTTTGTAGATTTGGGACAACCAAGAATAATTCTGAGAACTTCATTTTGCATTAACTCCAAAGGTCGGAGGGAACTTTCTCTAGCTAATATCAACATGGGAGCAGCATAATCAATTAAGGACCTAATATAGACTATGTACATCATTCTCATGATTCTCACACTAGCACCATTGGAGTTGGGGTTGTAGCCAGCAGCAGCTTTGAGAGTATTTAGCCTATCTTTGCATGTCTTATTTAGTTGTGGTATAGTGGATTTGTTCAAGGGTACATCTACGCCAAGATATCTGTAAGTTTTAACATAGCTAATGTTTTCACCCTGCAAATAGATGGGTGGGGCATGTCTTTTGCTTCTCAATATCTTTGTTTCTGAGGAGGATATTATGAGGCCTAGTCGGTTACAAATTGCTTGAAATTCAATAAGAATGGTACTCATCTTCTTAGGCCCTGCTGTATGGATCATGATGTCATCAGCATAGCTTATAGCTATATGTTTAGGTGAGACAGGTAGAGCATTTAGGAGAGCATTAATCAGAATATTAAATAGCATGGGACTGAGAGCTCCTCCCAACGGTGTACCTAAAAACATTTCTTTAGACTCACTTCTAAAGCTTTGGTAGAGGACAGGTATCCTATTATCCAGCAGAGTAAGCTACCAACAATATTCATTTTGGCTAGTTCATGTAGTATAACGGTTCTGTTCGCAATATCAAATGCAGATTTTAGATCAAGAAAAGTAGTAAAACTAGTAGAGGTGTGTGCAGTGAGAAAGGTGGAAATACAGTTCTGCACACTTTTACCTTTCATGAACCCATAGAGGTAGGGGGAAAGTTGGTGTCTGATTCTGTAGTACAGTCTGTTAAGTATCATTCTTTCATTTTACAAAGACAACTAGTTAAGGAGATCGGTCTAAATGTATCAGGCTGTTGGGGCTTAGGGATAGGCACAATGAGACTATTGGTCCAGGACCCTGCTATGTAATTGTATTTGTGTATACCTGAATAAACTTACTTAAACCAGATGCCCACACACAACTAAGTTGGCAACCGGCTTCGCCAAGGCCTTAGAAAGAACAAAAAGGCACACTACCCTGACTATAATACACGCATAACCCGCACATAGGAGATTTTTTGTTTTTTTACTTATTATTAATTTGAACATGATACATAGAGGTACAAGAAATACAATGGTTAAGTGTAACATGCCAAAAGCCCCTTGTATGCAGAGCATTATGGGCAGCCTTAAAATTAACCTAAGATTAACTAAGCAAATAATAGAGCCTACTAGACTGGAGAATACACTAGACCTCATCTTCACTAACAATGATGATCTGATAAGAAATGTCACCATATCAAAAACAATATACTCAGATCACAACATAATTGAGGTTCAGACATGTATGCATGGAGCCCCAGACCGACATAATGAGACTAGTCACGAGGGAGCATTCACCAAATTCAACTTCAATAACAAAAACATAAAGTGGGACCAAGTAAACCAAGTCCTAACCGATATAAGCTGGGAAGATATACTAAGCAACACAGACCCCAACTTATGCCTAGAACAGATTAACTCGGTGGCATTCGATGTATGCACAAGACTTATTCCTCTAAGAAAAAGGAGTATATGTAAAATAGAAAGAGACAGGCGCTCCCTTTACAGGCGACGGAAAAGAATAACAGAGCGGCTAAAAGAGGTCAATATATCTGAAATGCGTAGGGAGACACTGGTCAGAGAAATAGCAAGCATCGAACTTAAGCTAAAAGAATCCTTTAGGAGTCAGGAATCACGGGAAGAACTAAAAGCCATAAATGAAATCGAAAGAAACCCAAAGTATTTATTCTCCTATACCAAATCAAAATCGAGAACAACGTCCAGTATTGGGCCCCTACTTAAACAAGATGGGTCCTACACAGATGACAGCAAGGAAATTAGTGAGCTACTCAAGTCCAAATATGACTCAGTTTTTAGCAAGCCGCTAACCAGACTGAGAGTCGAAGATCAAAATGAATTTTTTATGAGAGAGCCACAAAATTTGATTAACACAAGCCTATCCGATGTTATCCTGACGCCAAATGACTTCGAACAGGCGATAAATGACATGCCCATGCACTCTGCCCCAGGGCCAGACTCATGGAACTCTGTGTTCATCAAGAACTGCAAGAAGCCCCTATGGTGACCCGGTGGTCTGGTGGCTAAAGCTCCCGCTTCACACACGGAGGGCCCGGGTTCGATTCCCGGCGGGTGGAAACATTTGACACGTTTCCTTACACCTGTTGTCCTGTTCACCTAGCAGCAAATAGGTACCTGGGTGTTAGTCGACTGGTGTGGGTCGCATCCTGGGGGACAAGATTAAGGACCCCAATGGAAATAAGTTAGACAGTCCTCGATGACGCACTGACTTTCTTGGGTTATCCTGGGTGGCTAACCCTCCGGGGTTAAAAATCCGAACGAAATCTTATCTTATCTTATCTTATCACGAGCCTTTTCCATCCTATGGAGAGGGAGCATGGACACGGGGGTCGTCCCACAGTTACTAAAAACAACAGACATAGCCCCACTCCACAAAGGGGGCAGTAAAGCAACAGCAAAGAACTACAGACCAATAGCACTAACATCCCATATCATAAAAATCTTTGAAAGGGTCCTAAGAAGCAAGATCACCACCCATCTAGAAACCCATCAGTTACACAACCCAGGGCAACATGGGTTTAGAACAGGTCGCTCCTGTCTGTCTCAACTATTGGATCACTACGACAAGATCCTAAATGCACTAGAAGACAAAAAGAATGCAGATGTAATATATACAGACTTTGCAAAAGCCTTCGACAAGTGTGACCATGGCGTAATAGCGCACAAAATGCGTGCTAAAGGAATAACAGGAAAAGTCGGTCGATGGATCTATAATTTCCTCACTAACAGAACACAGAGAGTAGTCGTCAACAGAGTAAAGTCCGAGGCAGCTACGGTGAAAAGCTCTGTTCCACAAGGCACAGTACTCGCTCCCATCTTGTTCCTCATCCTCATATCCGACATAGACAAGGATGTCAGCCACAGCACCGTGTCTTCCTTTGCGGATGACACCCGAATCTGCATGACAGTGTCTTCCA